CTACTGGCTGCATGAGTGCTGCTGTGTGGTTCTCCAGAGGAAGTGGACAGGGAAGGCGCACACCTTAGCAGGAACCATGAATATGACCCCATTTTAATGGGAGTCACCAGGATTGGCATTAGACTGGCTGGGGCTCAGGGCCAAAGCCTAACCCCCTCCTCCCACCCAAGGATCAGGCTTCAGCTTCAGATCTGGGGATGAAGCCCATAAGCATTGGCTTTAGGCCTGCCTGCCCTGGGTAGTCAGATGTGGGCTTTGGCCTCCCTGCCTGGAGCAGCAGGGCACACATGGACTTCAGCTTCAGTCTTTCCTCCTGGAGTCATGTAGTAATTTTTGTTAAAGAGATTTCCCCCGCACTAGATGATTCTTCCTCAGATCTGTGCTTTTGCAAATAATGGTGTGTTCAGTACTTATTTCATGATTGTTTATCGGGTTACAGTATTTTTGGTCGGTGAGAGATTGAGAGTAATTATATCAAATATAACTCACTTGTGTGTTAAAATAAAATATATAAAAGAACTGTGGGGTACCAGAGATTCATGGGTGGATCACTGATCTAAGTTCTGAGGTGATAATCTCTTCAAATTAATCTTGTTTTCTTCTCGGCAAACAGATCAGAAAAACAGCTTGACACAATGACACTAAATGTCTTGTTCCTTCCGATTTTCCTCAGACCATACAGGAGGTTGCAGGCTATGTCTTAATAGCACTCAACAACGTGGATAGCATTCCACTGACCAGTCTCCAGATCATACGAGGAAACGTGCTTTATGACAACCTTTATGCACTGGCAATTTTATCCAATTATGACACAAGTACAGGTGAAACCAGTGGACTCAGGGAACTGCCAATGAAACATTTATCAGGTGAGATGGCGGGACAGACAATGTGGCTGGGAAATGTTACTTTATTTGAAGTAAACTCCCAGATCTTTATGAAAAGGTTCATTTAAGAATAATTCGCCTTTAGAGCCCTGTTCCAAAGAAGATACACTGAATTAATTTAAATGTAGTCTATCCACATACCTACTCGCTTTATAACTACCCAGGTTTCAGTATAAAAAATTCCTTGTTTTACAATGCATAGACACGTAATGTCCGGTGGTCAATAGAAGTGTAGAGTAATAGTGTTGGCCCAAAAGTGAGAAGACATTTTTTGGGTGCTAGTTACAGATGCCTTAGAGCAGTAGTTTCCAAACTTGGGGTCATGGAATGCCAGGCACTGGGTCTCATTATTGCAGGCAGATGAGGTCATCAGCAGGGGTGCTAAGGCTACCTACCTGTCCTGACACTGCAGACTATACTGCGCCTCCGAGGTGCAGGGAAGGAGAGAGCACACAGGGCTCTGAGCACTGCCCATGCCCCAATCACTAGCTCTGCACTCCCAGTGGCTGGAAACCTGCTGCAGGTTGCTTCTGCACTGCAGGGTTTCCGGTGACTGGAAACACAGAAAGCCTGCCTTAGCAGAGCAGCGGGATTGCTAATCAGGAGTTGCTGAAGGTAAGCCCTCCTGGCCCACCCCTGATTCCTCCCAACCCATAGCCAAAGCCCCCACTTATGCCCCAAAACTCATCATGTATAGAAAGAAAGAAAAAACAATCAATTGCTTCATTTTCATCCTGGTGTGTGTGTGTTTTGTTTTTGTTTTTTTCCCCAGAAATTCTTAATGGGGGAGTTAAAATCAGCAACAGTCCAAAACTGTGCAACATGCAAACAGTTCTGTGGGATGACATTGTTGATTTGAGCAAAAAACCTGCAATGATATTGGATTATCAAGAAAATCTGACTGATTGTAAGTATCCATTTAACAAAACAGTAGTCGCTCCAATGCCAACAACAGTAGTATCTGTTTAAGTAGTAGTGCTGCTTATTGCTTTATAGAGCTCCATTTCTGTAAACACTTTTATGTAAATGCATTGCCTTCAAATCTTTCTTGCATAGAAATCAATTACATCTTGCTATTGAATTTACTAGGACCAAGATTTGTACCTAACAGCCTGATCCAAAGCACACTGAAGTCAATGGATTGGATCCCATTGATCTCGGTGGACTTTGGATTGGGCCTTTAAATGTGTGCTTCTTTGGTAAAAACAACACACAGCAATAAAATGCATAGCCTGATCCAAAGCACACTGAAGTCAATGGATTGGATCCCATTGATCTCGGTGGACTTTGGATTGGGCCTTTAAATGTGTGCTTCTTTGGTAAAAACAACACACAGCAATAAAATGCATATACATTTTTTTTTCAAGTGATTTTAAATTTATAGTGCAAGACCCTGATTCAGCAAAGCTCTTAAGTGTATGCTTAACTTTAGGCATGTAGGTACTCCCAAGGTGCTTAAATGTGTTGCTGGGTTGAGGCCCTTTTTCCTATTTGTGAATATCATGAACTCTACACATGGTTTGACAGTATAGGAAATCTTTGCAAAAATGAGGACCAGAAATGGATAAATAGTGATTCTTTAGATCAACACACCGACATAGATGTAGATTTGAAAGCTTATATGCCATGTATCCATGCTTATATCTGGTCCAAGCTAGGGATGTCAATGTGTAGTCAACTATAAGATTAACCTATCAGCACAGGCCTATCAGTTAAACTTGATGCCTACATGCATTCCATTCCTCCCCGCCCACTGCTTCTGAATCAGAGGCATCAAGGGGGGAGGAAGCAGGAGCCAGTGCTGAGGGAACTGCCTTAAAAGCTTGTTCCGCCCCCCCCCATCACCGGCTTCATAGTGCGCCCAAAGTCCCCCTCCCCGCACAGCTGCCTCGATCAGTGGCAGCCCCCTTCGGCCGAGGAGGCCGTCACCCACCCGCCCCCCCCC